AAGTTTTGGCTTCTGAGCAGTTTTACCAACTGCTTTTCAGTGTTGATTTTCACTTGAAGTTGGTAGTTCATACATTGTTAGCAGACATACAAGTTCCACTGTGATTTTCTGTTTTTTTCAACATAGGATAACTCTTCAAACTTGAAAATATGTCTTTTTATAACCTTATCAAAACCAGTACATTTTATCGTTATTACCATGATTTAGAACAAAAGAAAAAAGTATAACCCTAACCAAAGTTAGCTAAGAATCAAATATTACAATGAGGATGAAACCTGCTTGATAAAATTTCCAGGAATTAAGTCTTCATGACAAAGCCACTTCCTCTTTCGTCAGTATCTAAGAAAAAGTGTTTAATCTAGTGAAATGCACCAAATGCCTCAGCCAAGGCTGACAGCTAAAAGAGAAAGATATTTTTGATTTTATTATTTGAAACACCTTTCAAATCTTTTCATGGCACAGAAGAGAACACTACAAAAATATTCTATTAACAGGCCTGGCCTATTATATTTTACTATTTACAGCACCATTTTTTGTTGTTGCTTTGTTTTTTTTAAGAAAAGAGCTCTATTTAAAAAAAAAAAAAAAGGCACACAAAGTTGTGTCAAAATTTCCTGGATTATACTGTATTTAAGTTCCTAATTAAGTTGCTAAGTTGCATAAAAAATAACTAATGCAAGTATTATGACAGCATTGTTAATACCTGAGTATTACTGGAGTGCCAAACTGCATGAGAGACAATTTTGAGTGAATTTATAGAAAGCCAAGAGCCTTTACAAAAATAAAGAAATTGAAGTTGGAAGATTTCATAACTCAATTCACTTTCCTAATCACACTTCCTATAATACATAAGTTTTTATAGAAAGAAAAAAGAGCAAGAAAGCTAAAAGAGCAATCTAAAAGACAGCAAGTTCTCTATATTCAAAGCATAGCATTAAAAAAAGCTAAATACAAACAAAAAAATTAGGGCATGCAGTCTGTTGTAGATACACTTTTCTAAAAATCACATATGGTGCAAATTACATTGTGAATAAACAGGAAACAAAACCCAAGCAATAAACTGCTAAAGGAGATAAGGGGAAACCTTGTAGACAAGAAACTCACATACAAAACACAAGTAATAAAGCAATCTCTGACAAGACTTCCATGTAGGGACTGCTGCAGCTATTCCTGTCATCTCCCCCAAAATACCTAAACCCCAGAGACAAAGGCAGCAGGAGAACAAACTAGTACCAGGCAGCAGCATTGCAAACCTAATTCTCCCAAATAAATAAGCACAGCCCAGTTATATTGTGACTATTTATACAGTGCCAGCATCCTATATTTCTTATAGGAAAAAAATTACTACAACAGATAGGACACATGAAACAGTTCAGCCAACTCTTATTTCTTTACTCCCAAAACAATTCTTATAAAAGGAGACAACATTGATCATCACAAGTTTTTAAGTTAAAGATTTAAAACTAAGATAATGTATAGTCTGAATTTATAAAGTAGCTTACTTTGTAAAAACAGAAAAGGTGTTCATTTGCAACAATGCCATATAAAACCTTTTTGGTGTTTTTTTCACCCATGTATGTCAGGAGTTTGGGGCTTTGTTTAGTTTGATTGGTGGGAGTGTCTCATATGACTTACGAGCCCTCTTTCTGACTATTGTTTCAGTTATTAGTTTGACAATGGACTTTAGTAATATTGCATGTTTTTCTAATTATGACTTGCACAAAATTAAAGTGAAAAAATTAATATAATAGTCTTAAACAGGAAGAAAAGACTTTATAAGCACTAGCAAGTCTGCAAACATGAGTGCCTAACTAATAAGCATAATTACAGCTCATGCTTCATAGTCTGAACTGATCAGCAGTAGGGGTCAGAAAATATTCCTTTGTAGGACATTAAGTTAGATCAATCACATAAGGATTTTGTTTTCTTCCTTCAAAACAAACTCCAGAGAGATGACCAATAGCACAACAGTGAGTCAAGCTGTGGCCTTACGTACAGCAGATTCTGTGCACTTCCAGTCTGATTGTATCACTATTAAATAAATTGTTTACAAAGAAAAATATTTTCCCTTTAATTTTCAATATTTAGAGATGACATCTGTGGTGGTTCTCCCTCCCCTCCTGTACCAGCCCTGACTGATGTCCCACTGGGCACCAGCTATAACCATGCCCATGTTCCCAGGGCTGACCTCCTAAATATTAATGATTCTTTATACAAGACACATGGCTTTAGAAAGCTAATACTGTCTGAGCAAGGAAACCAACAAGACTCCTGGGTGTATCAACAGAAATCTGTGTATGGGTTTAAACCCAGCACCTGCTGGAGATTACTCAGGTGGGCAACACAGTTTCAAGTGTTCCAGCAGCAGTCTCATTGTGACAAAGGAGCAGCGTTTGTTATTGACAAAGCAGCACTCGTTTTGAAGTGTGCACTCTAGAGACATGAAGCTCCGACTGCACGGTGTTACTGTTGCCCTGTTAACACATAACTCCCGAGCCATTACTTTCATTTATTTTTCATAGTTTGCCAATAGGGTTATTTTAGAAAAGTAAAACAAATTAACTTGCATAAATTTGTTATTCTATAGAAAAGCTATGCAATAGCATACAACTGTAAATAACCAAAATGAAATATCCATTTGTTTTGAAAAATTGAAAGGCAATCAAGCAGAACATACCAAAATCATTTACAACACAAAACTATAGCTTTACTCAGTCTTGTGTTTGTAACAGAACCTCAAATAAAATCTGAAGGGCCAAATCCTGCAGTTTTTTCTCCTTGGCACTGACCTGCTTTCATAAAATATATCTGCTACTTTCTCATGAGGAACTATAGGGCACAGAATGTCACCAGTTTCATACCTGTTCTACAAAGACATTTTAGAATGTCTGAGACAAAAAAATCGGTACTCTTCAGATGGATGGATTGGCTGAGCAACAAACCAGTTAATGTCTATCAGCTTATCAAAGAGAAAACCACCCCAGCTCTCCAAAAAGTTTTTCCTGCCAAAGCTCTGCAGGGCCAGCAGCCCAGGGACCTGCTGCAGGAGTGAGAGCTGGGGATTAGTTCAGGGACTTGTGACAAAGAAGCCCCACCTGGGCACCCTGAGCACAGCCACTGCTGGCCCACCTACTGCTCATCCCAAGTATCTCAGCAGCAGGTCCACAGAGCACACCTGGGGCAGCAGGCAGCTGGGGAGATGCAGGGAGGAATGACAGCAGCCCTAGGGGCCAGGCCACTGCCTGCCTGGGGGAGAGGCAGCCTCACTGCTCACACAAGCTGGAGGGAAGGTGGGACTCCTCACCACGCCCGAGGGCTGCCGCCAGCAGTGTTCGCTGCCCTGCACAGCCCTGTCTGTCCTGGGCATCCACAGAGCAGCACCGGGACATGAAACAACTGAGCCTTTCCTCTGGACAAGTGTCCCTCTACGTGTCCTGGTGTCAGCCACGAGATCCTGCCCCTGGCAGGCATCTTCAGAGAGTCATGGTGGACCTGGGAAGGTCTTAGGATGTCGAACACGTCGGTCAGAAACTGCTCCTGGAGAAGAAGACTTATGGAATGAGGGAGGTGACAGGAGGTGAAGAGACATCCTCAGCTACTGCCCTGAGGGCTCTCTGCCTTTCCTTTCCACGACCTGCCTCCTGTAGAAAGATCCCTCCCTCCCAGGCCAGCACCACTGTGACATGAAGCATGAAGGGCACGTTCACAGCCAGTGGGCTCAGACACAGGGATAATTTCAACACCTCTTCACCAATTTACGGACTTGTACTTAAAATCTCAAATTTTCCTAAACTTTGCATGATGGGCATGAGCGTCCTTTTGTGCAAAGCACATCAGAGCATCTTAGTCTTTACTGTTGCAGTTATTTCCTGCCTTTCCCATGGTAGTTCCTAGTCATATCTAATGTACAGCAAAGAAAATCTGTTTTTTTCTTCTTTTCTGTATTATATAGAAATTTTTAAAACCACCGTGTATTCTGTTTGCCAGGTCTTACGATTTTTGCTCTCTTAAGAGCAACCTTTCTCCTTGTTAAGAGTCAACACTGAAATTCATAGAGTTGTTGATGCCACTGTCCAATGCTGCTGAGTAGAACTACGTGCTGCCCACTTTCAGAGCTGAACCTCCCAGGGTTTTAGCTCTTTAACTGCTCTCTGAAACTGGGAGAGCTCTGCTGTTCATACTCCTTATGACAAGCAGCTACCCCGTGTAAGGTCTCCTTGACCTTCAGCACCACAGGCAGCCCCCGGGGCCCCTGCCAGGCTCGAGCTCTGCGTCTCTGAGCAGCAGCTCTGCCATGCTGGCCTGGCACAGCGGAGACGCTCAGAGCTCACCAGGAGGGCCTGGAAAAGACAACCCCCATGCCTGGACCTAGGTATTGAAGGATGTTTGAAACTTGTTGTGAAGAGTTGTGTGTGCATTAACTGTGTTACGTTTGGCCTCAGCTTGAAAGAGGTAACAGGAAAGTCCCATACAAAGAGAGCTCAATTTGTGTTTTACTTTCCTTATTTCAGTTGCGGTAATGTGCTTATATGTTCTTTTTGAGGACTTGAGCTACATTGAAAAATAATTGGTCATATTTTATGGCACTTTCTCTAACTTACAAAACTCTTATCTTAGCGTGACTCCATTTAATATTTCTCTATGCTACATGCATTAAAACATCCATCTGGTAAGCCATTTTTGTCTTATGTCTTTTAAAGCTACTTTTAAAATTCCGAAGTTAACATAAGATGTGCAGAAACTTGATTCTGCTGACAATGGAAAATGGCAGAACACATATTTCACCACTTTCTGATATATGCTTACTATTCTAGAGGGTAATATTTTTTTCCACTAGTTAGAAGGTAGAGAGGTAAATTTGGTATACTATTAAATTGTTTCCTAATTTTTGCACAGCTAATGGTATAACAATAACCAAACATTACTTGTAATTTTAAATGTTTATTATTTAAATACTGCTCTAAGAGATGGAACAACATTTAAATTATCATTAATTTCAGCTAAACATCATGGATATCCTGTAAGAAGAATGGATGACATGAAAAAATCCACAGCTTCAAATGGGAAAAAACCTTAAATTTGAAAATAGCTTCCAAGAACTACAGGTAATGGTCTCTGTCTGTGTACTTAAAATGGGCTTAGTAGTCTTCATATATGATGATGAAAGCTACACCTATTCTCTGTCAAAAGGAGCCTCAATGGACATTTAGGCCTTAAATTTACTTGCCAGTAAGATCTGATTCTTCTTCCAATGTGTGTGCTCAAGATATAGTTAATTATTCCCATATGAAAAAGGAGTCAGAAATACTTCCCAAAATTTACATATGGGAGCATCCAAGGCCTTATTTTAGAACTTAAAGTGACTGAAAGTTTGATTTACAATTCAACTGGATTAATTTCAGGAGAAGCAGTTTTAGACTGGCGTCAAAATTAAAATGAAAGTATCTAATTGCTTTCCTTTTCTCAAATTCTCTGTACTGCTAACACTTGCATATCAGTTGCAGCTAAAATTATAAACTCACTTTCATTAAATGACTTTGCAATGCAATAAAAAAGCTTTTAATGCCATGAATGAAATTGTGCAACTTTTGAATCAGTTATGTAATATTCATCTGAACCTTTCCATAATTATTTGTTGAATTCTCTATTGCTGCGAGCCTCCAAAAGTTTATTCAGTCAAAGCTGAACTTCATAAACTAAACTGCTGTGAGATCTTATATGGTCATTGTTTAGTATTAAAAGAAGTTATTATTATACAATCCTCAATATGTGATATTAATTCCAAACCTTGTATCTATGTATGTTTATTGAATTAAGAAAGATTGTTCACATGAGCAGATTATGAAAGTCCCATTTAACAGTAACAATCACCTGGACTGTGGAAAAGCCCCATCTAATAATTTTTTGTTGTATTTTTTTATTTTTAGAAGAATAAATGTGTAATTGAAATAGTATGCTGTCTCTGATAATGACACACCAGTCATTTACAAATACTTCCTGAAACAATCAGTCTGATGGGCACAGGGGACTGCCTGCATGGAACACATTACAAGACATGACAGCATTTAATTGTAATGTTGATTGCACTGAAGTTCCATTAATGTCAGTCATAGCTGACAGTACAAGCAGGCAACCCAATTTGTACTCAGTGGTAGAATTCCAAATGGTATTTGACCAGGCTGAGAAAATAGAGATGGCTGAATAACAATAAATTGCCCAGTACAGTAAACTAACTAATTGATGATATAGAAAAATGTTTACCTAATTTAAATGTTTGTTAATTAAAAAAAAAACCAAGCAAAATAAGTTTAAATTAATCTAGAAGTTCCTCTGACCTTGTGTAAGGCCTTTTCTTGCCAAACAGCATCAGTGTAGAAACCCTCTTCAATGGTCAAAAAAATGGTGCTCTTCTGTCACCCCTTTCCTTCAGCTCCACCTGACAAGAGTTCCTGGTGCTGCTGGTTTTTTTATGTGACAGTTGATTAAACACTTTCATCATCAGGGGCAGAAAATAATATTATCATATTTATTAATTTTTAAAGTGCTCCATTGTGAGCACTACAACAATCTGAAATGGAACAGCTGTCTCCTCTTCACACACAGCTACCTGGGCTTCCATAGATCTCTTTATACCATTCAATTAGAAATGTCTCCTTTTGATGATGTACATTGGATGTATATCCTTGCCAAATAAGAGAATATAAACTGTACTAACTCTGAAATATAACTGAAAGCAGGGCCCTGTTTTATTATCCAGCAAAACTTTCATTACAGTTGGAAGGTCTGAACTTTCATTTGCACTTAAAGCAAATTGAAGTAGCTCCATTGAAAGTTGGAAGTTGCATTTGATGTAATTACAGGATGGACTTGGATTAGAACTTGCCCATCTACTGCAACTAATGTACTTAGGGCTTAAAGATACAATGAATTGTATTATTTATGATATTTAAATTGATTTTGAATAAGAGCCAGACAAAAGTGTAACACAAATAGCACCGGGAATGGCAACTAGATGGATTGCTTTTCACTTTTCTCTGTGGATGAAACAGAAAATAAACTGTTCAAAGAAGCTGGGCTGTTTTACAAGGAAGTGAACACAAAGTGAACAAATACTGAAGGAAAAATTTAAAAATAAAACTATATACGTCCCTAGGACTAGAAAACAATGCCCTTTCAGTGGCATTCTCACATCCAAAAAAAGAGTGTCTGGAGCTATCCAGAGTTTAGAAGGAGGGATCAAGTTCCTTCCTAGCCAAACTCAGATATCCTGTATCTGTTTAGCAAGCTGGGACTATTGAGAGCATAGTGCTTCACCTACAACATCAGCTGCTCTGGGAATTGTGTAGTTGTACAAGTGAAAGTAACAAAATCAGATTACAAGAAAAAGTGTGTTAATGCAGAAAAGGGAAAAAATAAAGGAAGAAAGCCAGTTGAATTTTTTTTCAAAGGTGATCCAACACTCATTTTAGTCTAAGCCTTTTTACTATTCCCTTTAAAATGTGTGGGTTGGGAACTTCTGTCAGTCTGGATCTGTGTGGTTCCTAGAATTTTTCAAATATTGCTTGACAAATAAATAAATATTCAGCCCCAAATGCATATACACTGGTCCTTCTTCTGTATTTAAAATCCAAGAACAACCAAATCTTATTTTTCAAATTTTTTCCTTGTAGTCTGCTGCAAAGCATCATCAGTTTTTTAAATCTTTATTCTTTTTGTTATTACTGTAGGTTAAAATAAGACACTGGACAATGTTTACTACTAAGATTCTTTGAGATATACATCTCCCACCTTTCTCAAGTGTACCAAGATCCTAACTGAGAAAACGTGTCACTTTGTGGTTCTTCATTTTGTCAAGAACCTTCAATTGCTGATAGTGTCTTACACAAATAAACACTAGAAACAGACCCCCCCGAAAGAGAGGTAAATTTCAAGCTAGGAAACTGAAGGCTCTGCTCTACATTGACACATTCGGGCAAAGGCTCTTCTGTCCCTGCTGAAGCCAGGGGTCGATGTCTGCCTTGAAGCCAGAATTACATTTTCACAATTCACACTGAAGCCTCTAAAGAAGTAAAAGGTGGGAATAGTCTATGCTGGAGAATAACAAGACACTGGCTAGATCACTACTAGGAATGTGTTTGAAAACACATACCATGTGGGCTGAGTGGGCATATGCAAAGGTGAAAATATATGCTCTTTTAAAAGCAATGAGATTTTTTTTTCAGCAGCGGAGAGCCAGGGAACACTGAGACAGAAATTTAAGAACACCATCATTGGGACTGTCACGAGCATTTTTTTAAAAACTTTTCTTCAGCCGTTTCCAAAACATGCCTTAGAAACACACGAAGCGCGTATGGCTCCTGAGAAATCCAGACCACTGCTGTGCCACTGTAGGGCCCCATCGGCCACCCAGGCGGGGTTTCCCCTCCCGCTTTCCCCGGCGTCCCCCGGCCCTCGCCCCGCGCCCCCGGCGGCGCTCCCGGCCGGGCCGCCCCGGGCGGGCAGGGCCGGGCCACCGGGGGCTGCCCGGCTCCTACCTGGTAGGCATCGGGAATGTTGACCGTCTCTCCGTGCTCCGCCACGTAGCCGATGATGCCCTTGCCCCAGGGCACCTGCACCTCGTTGCTGTCCTCGGTGGAGCCGCAGGGCAGCAGAGGGGTGCCGGCGTGCACGTCGAAGAACTTGGACACCAGGGTCTTCTTGCCGGCGGAGGTCCCCTCGACGAGGAAGAGGGATCCCCGGTCCGCGTCCACCATGAGGCAGACGAAGATGAGGATCTTGTAGCTGAGGCTGGTGAGGTCCAGGTCATTGGAGATGTCCTTGACCAGTTCCAGGAAGAACTGGCGCTCGTTGTGCTCCTTGAGGTAGCGCTTGTAGTCGAGGGCGGTGGGGGGGTACTGGGGCAGGCTGACGCGGGACTCCAGCAGGGCGCTGAGGATGTGTGCGGTGGTGGGGGGCAAGGAGCTGGCCTTCCGCAGCAGCGCCCGCCGCCGCACGCTGCTCAGCGGCTCCTGCGCCCGGGCGTGCACATGCTCGTCGTAGGTGAGGTTGACGTGGATAGCTTTGGAGCGGGCGAAGCTCTTCCGCAGCTCCTTCTGGGACGCTCGGCGCTGCAGCCCCCCGGGGCCGGGGCCGGGGCCGCCGGGGCCGCCCGCGCTCCCCCAGCTGCCGCCGGGGCCGTCGCTGCTCCGCCGCTCCTCCGGAGGGCCGCCAGCGGGAGCGGCGGGGGCGGCAGGCGCTTTAGGGAGTGAGCTCTTCCTCTGCAGCCACTTCTCCACCAGCTCCGGGTGCCTCTCTAGGAAACTTTCCACCGCCGCCACGTCGAGGCCGGCATCGCCGGCGGCTGCCATGGTGCCGGCGGCGGGGGCGGCTCAGGCCGCGGGAGCTCCCGCGCTGGCCATGCCCCGCCGCCGCCACGTGCTGCTGCTGCCGCCCCGACGGCCGCCCCGGGGCACGGGGGATGCCGGCAGCCCCGGCGAGGGGCCGCTTCTGCCCCTTGCCCGGGCTCCCCCGCAGCGGAGCGCTTTCTTCTCACCTTCTGCTTTCCCCCGCGACCTCCTTTTCCTACCCACCACTCTTTATTATCATTAATAGTAGTATTTGTATTTTTCTAGGTATTTTTTGTGCTTCCCGGTCTTCAGCCTTTCTCCAGCTCTGACCTCGGTTCCCGGTTCGGGGCCGCTCCCCTGCTGAGTCGGGCAGGCGGTGCAGCCGCACCTCTGGAGATGCTCCGGGAGCGCTCGGGCGAACCTCTTCTGCCAAGTGCTGTCAGTGCTGGCGGCGGCTCCTGCGTAAGCCAGCCGGCAGACCACTGAGAAGGAGGGAGGGGAGGACGCGTGAGCCGAGCGGGGGGGCAGGCGGGGAGGAGGGAGGGCTGGCGGGAGCGCTGGCAAAGCCCGCTGCGGTGGGGGGGCACTGCCGCCCGCCCGGCAGCAGCCGCCTCGGCAGCGCGGGCGGGGCGCGCAGCGTCCCCCGCCGGGAGGACCCCCGGCAGTGGGGGGCTGTGCTAGGGAGTTTCATTCAACAACATCGGGGGGGAAAGGAGGGGCCTTTTGTCTGTGATGCTCGTTCGGGGAGGGGACGAACCCCGCCGCGGCTCCCGCCCGCCGTCCGCGAGAGAGGCAGCGGGAGGTAATGGGAGCGCTCCCGTTAAGGAGCTCTCATTTATACTATTGTCTGAGCTGCTTCAGTACTTCAGGTGACAAGCAGTAAAACGGAGCCCTTCCAAGAATCCTGAGTGAATTCCGTTTCTTGAATCACTGAGTTGATTTGCGGATAGCCTCACCGTGCGGAGCCCCGGCTCTGCCCGGCGCGCACGGCTCCCGGGGGTGTGCGGGGCACAGCGGGCTCTGCCCGCCCGGAGCCACCCGGGGCTTTCTGCCGCAAGCCGCTGCTCCCCGGGGCGGCTCGGCGGGAGCGGGCGCGCCCAGGCGCTCCTGGGTGTCCGCTCGGGCATCACCGGCTGCCAGACGGAAAGCGACCGTACCCACCGCTGGCAGACGGACAAGGGTTATTTTTACGCGCACGTGGAGCACTTTTCATTGCTATATCAATGCCTACGCATAAACGATTAAAAAAAACAAGTCATGGATCTTAACACGTGAAAATGTTTTTCATGCGCTCACCAAAGACTGAATGAAGGAGGCTTCAGAAATTCATGAATGGGAGCTCGGGTGGCTGGGAAAACACACGGGCAAATCTTCAACCAAACGAGATTCCGACCTGCCGGGGACCCTGTCCCTGCAGCCGGCCCATACGGGGCGGGGTGCGGGCAGCGCTTGCAAGGAGAGGGAGCACTTTTGGGACACGTGTCGATAGCGCAGGCTGGTGCGTGGGCGTCAGAAGGGGAGGAAGGGCTACGTGTCTGTCCAGGAGGACCGCCGCGTCTCCCGCGGCGGTAGGGGTGACCCTCAGGGGCTCCGTGTAGACGCTTCGGCTTGAGCAGCTCGAAGGCAGCTTACGAAGCCACAGACAAAGGATTTCACCCCCCAGTCTCGGTGCCCGCGCCCTTGCAGGCTGAGCAGCAGTTCCCTCGCCGCCGCGGGTCCCGGGCCGCTGTGGCGGCAGGGCGCCGTGCTCGGCCCCGCTCTCGGCAGGGTTTCATACAGCTCTCGGACTCTGGCCGCCGCGCAGGGACGCTGCCGCAGGAGGACGGGCGCTCCACTGACAAGCCCCGCCGCCGCCGGCACACACCGGCAGCAGGGCAGCGGGGGCGGCGCGCAGGCGCGGGCAGCCGGGGCGGGGGCGCAGCCCTGGCAGCAGCCCCCGGCCCTCGGGGCGGAGGCGGCAGCGGGGGCCGGCCGGGCCCGGGCGGTGCGCGGCGGCGGGGAAAGGTCGCTCCCGGCCGCCGCACCGTGCCCCGCCCGACTTGCGGAGGGCGCCCGGCCGCAGAACGCGCGGCGAGCGGGCTGCGGGGCGAGGGACGGAAAGCGCGGAGGTCGGAGGCCGCGCTCTAGGGATTCGTCCCCGAGCTGCTCGCACCTCTAAAGAAGCCGAGCTCTTTCCATGCAGGTAGCCTGGGTATGACGAGGCAGCGTTATCTCGGCCGGGCAAGGCTCTGTGAGCGTTTCCGAGCGCGCTGCCGGCGCTGTGACGCGAAGGGGTTCACAGCCCCTCGGGCTGAGCCGCCGCTGTCGCAGCGCCGGTGGCGGCCGCGCTCCCGGAGTCCCCGAGCCCGGGGCTGCCCCGGGCCCCAACTGCATTTGCGGTTTTGCAGAGCTGGCACAAACACTCCATTTGCACAAAGAAATCGCATGAGCTGCTGGAGGCCAGCCGGGCGCTTACCCCCAGCTCTCAAGTGAGGAACTTGGGTGCGAAATAATTGTATGCAGATAATTTTTGCCATTTTACCGTGGTAAGGTTTGGTTTGAGCACGCACACCAGTGTTTACTACAAAATGGCTACTATGTAGCATGTAAACACTAAAAGCAACTTAGTGTTTCTGTAAGCCTAGGTATAAACTAGGTCCTGGGATTCTATGCATAGGATTTGACTGCATCAGAAATCTGCATATTGACAATCTCTCAAACAGCAGTCAAGACTGAAGAAAGTAAAACTGTACTTGTCTCCATTGCATGGAATAAATAGTGAAAATTTTACTGTAACAGTTTAATTGTAAAGAACTGTGGAACCTGAAATCCTTGGACAGATGAAATGTGACAAAGATGATCACACTGGTTCGACTGTTCTGTAACTTGCACAGGCTTTGGATGCGCTGTAAATACCTGGATAAAACCTGGTTCAGAAGCCTGCCTGGTGTGTGATGATGGATGCTAGGAGAAAACCGGGGTCTCTGTTCTGTCTGCAGGGCGAGTTAAAGAAGCACAGTGTACACTAGGCTGCAGCCTTATTTGTTGTGGGAAGGCAAAAATAGTAAAATGGATTTTGTCAATGCCATGGGATTGTGCCGCTATTGTAATTTTATAGATATGCTGCAGTGAGGTACGAGCATTTTACATCTGATGCATCTGAGGTATGATGCACTTTTTGTCAGCAGGGATGCACAATGCCAACTCAGACAGCAGTGCAGGCTTTAGGCAATTGCACCTGGTTTCCTTGGGTACAACATGTGGAAATGCTCTAAGATGCCCTAAAAGAATCACAAGGAGAAATGTCAGTGCATTTCTTAGGTGCAGTGTGTTTTTCTGTGGAATAGCACTCCTCAAAATGCGAATGGGAAAACCACTTGAGAAAATTTGGTCATTTGGGAGGATGCTTTATTACTCTAAGCAGTCTGAAAGAGGGAAGCAGTCCAGTAGTTTCCAGGAGGATGGGAGCATAAATTATGTATAATATAAAATGCACAATACTTTGTATCACTTTAATAGGTAAAATGTAAATACTTTTTGCATCATGGACAGTTGCAGTTTTTTGTAGCATTTAATATACAACTCCTTACTGCTTCCAAACTAAGTGAATATCTTTGTATCTCCAATATGCAGAAGATACAAATTTAATTTCATACTTTTTTTTAAATGAGCATGAGATTGCAATTGAATTCCACAAGGCTGTGCTCCATTGAAGGGCATTAGAAAAAGGGTTATCAATAGCCAGTTCCTGGAATCTCTTGACAGAAGTTGAAAAACCATTATTGTTTCCTTCCAAACCTGCTAAAACCTGTCTTTTTCAACAGAAGTCTGCTCTTGTGTACTAAAGACTACTGCGATGACATATTCACATTTCTCTTCTGTCCTTCAGAGCTGACTTTTCCCATTGTCTAAAAATAGTTACTATATGCTGATGATGTATTGAAGGAAATTCCAGTATAAAGTGAATGTCACAAACGTTTCCTAGAAATCAAAAGGGGGGGGGGG